AAAGCAGAGAAAGGGAAGGACCTGACCATGTGCAAGTCGCAGGGTGAAGGATACCAAGAACTGTTTTGATGACCTAAGTCAAGGGTGCAGACTCGTGTGGAGGACTGTCAGAAATATGGTCTAGCTCACATCAAGTATAGGCTGAGATTACAGGGCTGCAGGTAAGATGTTCAGGCCCACTGAAATGCCTGTAACTGGAGACTTAAAATACATGTAAATACTGGTAAATGGATTTATGAATTTCCCCTCCCCCCCGCCCACCCTTTAAATAATGTATAAGAATATTGTGGGAAATACTGTTTGAATGTCATCAAAGTCAAGGAGTTAGCTACCCCATCTATGTTTAAAAGTCACGCTAAACCCGCAACAAGATTTATTCTAACAAAGAACTCGGTTCTAGTGCTTCTGGTAACTTCTAGCATACTTTTAACTCTGGATCCATCTCTGTGCACTAGCTGGGATGGAGCTGTGGTACGCCCCAGCTGCTCGCTCGGTGCAGAGCAGGCTTACTGATCTCCTTTCGTCAATGCACTTTGACACCCTCAGGAGCAAACAGTCTGAAGCCAGGAACGGTTTCATCCTTCCTTGGCTCATTCTTGGGCGTCAGCAGCCAATTAATGTTAGGTTTTTTTATGACAGTTTCCATTAGCTTAAAAATTGATTGAAATAGCCGTGCTGTTTTCCACCGATCTCCAAAGGCTCCCCAGGCAGTGATTGTATTTGGTAACTACTAATCCTGATACACTTCAGGCATATTTCGTGATTGAAATGTAGCACTTGAAGTTATGGCATCCAGCAAGCTGTTCAGTGTAGAATGCGCTTATAGATTCAGCCTCTGTGGATTAGGGGTCTATTTCTGATGCTGCTCTTGCCCAAGTCATGTGGAATGGAGGTACAGAGACAGTTTAATTGGCTTTTCTGTGGTAGTCCGTAATGCCCTTCAGAATCCTGTAGAGAAATGCGGCTTGTTCTGTCAGGGATAGCTGTGAGATCGTAGCGTTTGAAGTGGGTTACTGAAGAACAAAGTGCAGAGGGATATTAAAAGTCGATGTTTCTGAAGTTGTGTTTCTTGCATGTGGCAGTAAAGGGCTGTGTGGAGAAGTTGAGGGTGCTGAGGCTGAATTGCCTGGTAGTTTGGCTTCAGAGATACTGGTGAATTATTGTAGACTTAAAGCAGACAGATGTGTGTTCACTCAGCCAAATTATAATTCTGGCTAGATGCTAGTTCTAAGTAAGAATATATTTTTAAATTGAAGAACATCTGTTAATAATTTTATTATTAGTATTTATTGATGTTCATGTATTAACATTATTCATTAATATTTTTAAAGTTCCATTGTAATTAGTTCAAATTGGTTGCTCTTTAGTGGACTGTGCAAAGAAGGCATTTCAATATCTTCAGTGAAGTTAACTTATTGTAGCTGGTGACTTCAGTGTTTAAGATACATAACTGGAGCATAAACTGAAGTCTCTTGTAGGCACAATAGAGCTGATTTTAAATTTGCGATCTAAAACACATTTCATGGAAGCATGGAGCTTCTGGGGGATGAATTTTGTCTTGTTCAGAAATTGCCTGCATTCGTACTTGTAGTGTGTGAAGTGTAACGCCTTGCCCTTTCACATAGCTGCAGAGAAGCAAAATACTGAATTCAGAGCAGGATCTCAAGACTGCTCTGTGCTGTCAGTCCTCGCTATTTCCCTGAGGTGGTACTGCACCTTCACTACTTTATGTAGACTGTGGCATGACTGACAGAAAATACTACATCCTGCTGATGCCTTGACTGCAGCTTTATTGTTGATTTTTTGCTGGCTGAGGCACAGGCTTTTGATCCCTGCAGGGGTATGTGAAGACAATCTAATAAGAAGTGAGCTCTAAGAAGAGAAAGGGAATAATAGAGAGGAAGAGCAGCAGTAGGACAGAATGTGTCGACTGAACGCTGGTAAATGGGGAGTGATGTTTTAATTTTGATACACTAAGACATACTGCTGTGTTTATACTGAGCCCTGCTGTGAAAAGGGTCTTTCCCTGTGGGTGCCCAGCACATGCTAGTAGTTCTTGCAGGCTGCTCAACAGGTGTTTACTGAGTCCATGTCCTGTATACCTCAGTGAAAACTCAGAGAATTCCTGGAAAAGGTAAATAAAAAGGGTATGCTGACACTTTACGTTATGAGAGGGGGAAGGCAGGCAGGCTAAAAAAGGAAGACAGAAGGGGAAGAGTGAAAGTGAGCAGTTAAGAGCTATTGCCTGTTCTTAAGTCGTCTTAGACTGCTATCCCAGAATCTCAATAGACACTTTATAATTGAATCCCATCCATACAATATGCTTGTTTATGTGACTAACATGTAACAATGCAGAAAGTTCACAGCCAAAAGAAATTACAGCAGTATTACAGGGTATACTGCCAGAAGCAGATTAGCAAGGTGTCCATCCCTTCCAAGTGAAAGCTGTTAAAATTCAAGTATTGTCAGATGCCATGTTACACAAGTGTATAAAATGTACCGTTTATGTTCCCAAGATGATATTAACTTTGCCCTGTGTTGTCTGCATCTCAAAAACCCTCTTATCTATAGATCTTAATCACCTCTATAAAAATGCTTGCCTGTGTTGTGAGTTGGCCCCGGTAGGCAGCCAGGCCCCACCCAGCTGCTGGGTCACTCCCTGCCCCGGTGGGATGGGGGAAAGAGGTTCTGGAGGGTGAATGTGAGAGAACTTGTGGGCTGAGGTAAAGACAGTTTAATAGATAAAGCAAAGGGGAACACACAAGCAAAGCAAGAAAAGGAATTAATTCACTGCTTCCTGTCAGTGGGCAGGCGTTTAGCTATTTCCAGGGTAACAGGGCTTGATGGTGAGTAACGGTTGCTTGGGAAGACAGAAGCCCTAACTCCGAACATTGGTCTGTTCCTCCTCCTTTCTTCAGGTTTTATTGCTGAGCATGACGTTACATGGTATGGAACATCCCTTTGGTCAGTGGGGGTCGGCTGTCCCGACTGTGTCCCCTCCCAGCTTCTTGTGCACCTCCAGCCCACGCAGTGGCAGGGCGGTGTGAGGAGCAGAAGAGGCCTTGATGTGGTGTAAGCACTGCTCAGCAATAGCTAAAACACTGGTGTGTTATCAACACTTCTGGCAACAAATCCAAAAAAACAGCACCATGCAAGCTGCTGTGAAGAAAACTGGCTCCATCCCAGCCAATGCCCGTACTACCTAGCAGTGTAATACCTGTGCTCTCAGAAACTTTCATCCAGACTTCTCATAAGAATCAAAAGACCTAGCCATTGCAATGACTTCCAGTTTGCCTGAATCTTAATTTCGTCTTTTTGGTGTTTCATATGCAAATGAAGATTGCGCTCTCGTGTTCTAACCTGCACAGCCAAGGTCTGATATCTTAGAAGATTTGTCTGAAAGATTCCCTGTGCCTGTACAAAGGTTACTTGTTCAGTCTTCTGTACCTATCTTTTATTAAAGCTTCTTCTGCTGCTCTGTCTGTTTGGGTGTTGCATTTTTCTAGTCTGTAAGACACTGTAGGTACCTCTGCACTTACCTGGCAGTAGCTAGGCAACTGATTTTTAAGAATGTCCTTAGTTACATCGCTGTATTTTACTGTAAGAGAATGGTGTTTGCCTTTGTAGGACATGTGATGTTTCTGTTTATGGTCAATGATTTCGTAAATTGTCATTGGAGTTAATCCCATGGTGCATATGTAATTTGTGCGAGTGAGTCACAGGATTGGAGATCCCTATAGGAGAGGATGATCTTAGTAGGTTTTATAAAGTTGTTTTTGTAAGCACCTGTATACATGTACAGTGATGAAGAAGCGTTGTCTGCAGAACTGTTCCTGAGCTGTGTTCGGGTTCATCTGTTTTACAGGTTGCACACCACAAAATCTGTGCATGCTTCAGTCTGGTTTGATGCAAGCACCCTTCAGCCCGGAAGCTGTGTAAATAAGATGCCGTGCTGGAGTGAATAAGCTATATAAGCATTCCCTTAGGAAAGCCAAGTGTTAGTTTCCAGTCTCCGCAGCAAATTACCTTCAGCTTCCTACTGTTGTCTCTGCTACAATTGTGTTAGGTATCTCAAGCTATTTTATTGTCCACTGAACCAATAAAATGCATCTTCCACCCATCTTGTCCATCGTGCAAGTGGTATGTGGTGATACTCTGTTAGGTGGTTACTACATGGACTTGCTTTGAAATGCATTTTGTCTGGTTTTGGCAGACTTCAGAAAGGTCTGTGGGGATTCTTGGTTGCTTGCTTTTATTTCAGAATTCAATAAGAAAGAAAACCTGTTGCTAAGCTGTATTATTGCTGCTTCCATAGTATTTCCTGCGTTATTGCTCAGCCAGTGTAATGGCAGAGCCGCATCTTTCACCTATTGATTTTTCTTCTCTTAAGGAGAAACACAGAAGGAAAGATGTGTTTCAGGGGCCAGTATTTCACCTAAGTCTTATTTTCTGTATTTTTAAGACTCTTCCAGGAAATAGTAGAGAACGTCTATATATTATGATATACTACTATATATTAATTATGATATATTATGATATATTACTATATATTAATGTCATGTGTTTTTTAACAAGGTCTACAAATATTTTTTTTCAACCCAATCAAAATCCTTTGGCTTTTGAACCTTACACAGCAGACGTTCTTGCTTGTAGTGACGGTGCTCAGGCACTTGGACTCCATTTAGTGTTTTTAATTTCTGAGAGTGATGTTATTTGTATTTTGGTAGTTGGCTATCCTATTATTGCTTGTTGTGTCTCTGACCTCTGGTTCTTCTAAAGGTGCTTAATTTTCGCTCACTTTGATATAAGGCAAGCAGGGAGGTAATTTTTCGTAAGTCGGATTCCATTTGTTTTGGGGAGATTGTTAACTTTTAGCTGATCTCTTGCAGTTTGCTTAACCTGTTTCTTTTACCTGTTCTGAAACAGTGACCTCTTCCGCAGAACTGATCACATTTTTCTGGGATTTCTTTTAGACTACACAACTTCTGTCTTAGGTACAGATTTTATGTTCCTTGCTTTTCCTATTAAATACCAGCGTGTCTGTCACCATGGCTTGCATTCTGGTTGCTGAAATTGTGGAATGTCACTTGTAGGGACCATGTGCTAGAAGATACCTTGTTTAACTTCTGCCTGCCATTATGAGTTCATTAGCATCTATATTGTTTCATTCGTGGCTCTTTAATGTGAACACCTAGTACAATGAATAAATGTGCCAAGGATGACATATAGTGAGACATAGTAGGAGGTAGGTAGCACTTTTCCTAACTTTTAGCTGAGTTTGAAAAGGGTGGGGAAACACACCGACGTGGTTCTGACTTTATGACTATCAGTCTAAACCCGTTTCTCTGCCTGCTTATTTGTATTCAACAAATGGTTTCCTTTCTTCTTTGGACATTTATCATTAGTGAGAGCAGTGTTTTTGCTGTTGCCATGTATTTGGACAGAATTTGTTTTTGCAGTGTCCTGATAAACACAGCAGGAAACTTCAGACATTCTTTATCTGCTTTTCTTTCTGAGTTCGGCTGGGGAAGTGAATGGGTTCTCGAATTCCAGGGAACACTGGAGGCTCCTCCTGTCGAGCAGTGCTCTCAACAGCTAACTTTGGATTTATCTGATCTCCACTGAGATGTTTATGAGCTCAGAGTTCATTGACTGTCTTTTAATTACCTCTGTGAATTATAAAAATTCATGCCAGAAAGTTTTTGATAGTGCTAGTGATTAAGTCTTAGTCTCAAAATTGGTTTTTTCTGGATTATTTGTGTCCTGAATTTTACTTTTTCATTTGCACTGAAACACCACCCTTCCAAATGAGGTGAATTTCTCTTATAGAAGATACTGATAGATCTATGTGCCTTGCTCTTTTCCTCTTCTTTATTTTGTCCTGTAACAAACGAACTGTGTCATAGCTGTTAAACTGTTTTCCCTGGACCTGTTTATTTCCTCTTGCCATTTCTATTGCCTGTGTCATGCTCAGCTGAAGTGGCTACTGTGTGGTATTCTTTGATTCTTTCTCCTAGTTTTGCATGTTCCTTTTGTTCACACCTTACTCATCTCTTTCAACTCATCTGTAGAAACAGTGAATTCTATTTTACTACTTCATGTGTCTGATAGCCTGCTGTTTGTGCTTTTTCACCTCCGCGGTGTGTAAGTAGTCATGCCTTGTTCTTTATTGTGTGCCCGTGTCAACAAGTTTCTTTGTTTATCTCTGGATGTTTTGTCCTCTAGGTTTTTCCCTCCCAAATGTTATTTTTACTTCCAGTATTAATAATACTTTTATTGATTTTCCATGTATCTTGAATTTGATCCCATTAAATTTCCATCCTTCAGAAGTCTTTTTCTTACTAGTTTTTCCTGTGTTGCCTACTCATCAATTGTTTGAATAGATCCTGATTTCGTTTGTGGAACATCACTGTATGCCTTTTTAATTTTTTGACTGTATTTTAAGGTTTTTTATTGTAAAACAGACTATTTAGGGCCAAGTTACATGTAATCTAGCTGGATTTTTCTGACATAGAGTTATGGTGGCTATTGTCTGTGTGATGGACAGAGGATGAGTTGAAATTTTATTCTTGGACAGCTTAGATGGGTGGCCCTTATTCCAAATCTTTTGATTGCTTACAGTTCTGCATGTAGAAGGCCTATTTCACTGAGAGCGTTTAAGGCATTTCTGCAGTCCCTTCTGTTTACACTAAAGCGTTATGCATCATGCGTTAATGGAGATTATAGGGAGTAGCTCTATGGGATTGGCACACTTGAACACCATTATATGGGAATAAATGTCTAATGCTAATTTAAGTGAGATCCTCCTCCTATCCAATAAAAAAGGACCAGAAGACATCTGTTTCTGGCTAATAAAAACAAGGTGGAAGGGTGTGTCACACTTCCCTGCCATGGACCTCTGTATAGTCTGTGAGAGTCAGTGCTGCTGTGGAGACTACAGGCAGCAGTGAAGAGCAGTTACAGGAAGGGTGCTGCAACTCTCTGAACTCCCCAAGCTGGGTTTCACTGCATTAAACTCCCAGCTGCAGCCTTGTTCATCTCCCTGTACTATGCAGTGCTCTGCCTCGAGCTCTGAGGAAGCCCAGGCACTCATCACTTCTGCTCTCCCGTGCATCCTGACCAGAGTACCCTTCACAAGATACTAGGAGTTTTCTTAAAATGCTCCCTAACGGTGTGGTTTATTTTCAATTTTTTCCCTTCAGTGATCTGAAGAAGAAATACAACATAACAGCAATTCCTAAACTGGTGATTGTGAAACAAACTGGAGAAGTCATTACGGACAAGGGAAGAAAACAGATCAGAGACAAAGGGCTATCCTGTTTTCGGAACTGGCTTGAGGGTGCAGATATCTTTCAGAATTTTTCTAGCTGAATACTTGGCAGATGAAAGCAAGACAAGGCATCATGGAAAACTTCGTAGAAGTCTGAAAAGATTGTTGTCTTCTTCAGAACAAGAAGGGTGAGGCTTATTTATCTTTGCCTGTAAACAAATTTGGTTTTCTACTTGAAGATTAGCTATTCCAGTAAGTCATAAAATGCAATATTGTTTTATTTGTATTGTTCTATCTAGTATATTCAGTATGAACCAAAGCATTCCTGATAGTACCGAAGAACTTCAGGAGGATAGGCTATCTTAGACAGGAATAATGGAGCACTGTGAAATCTATGCAAACACTTACTTTGCAAAATCTGTATAGTAAAAATTATATATACATATGTACAAACCTATTTTTCTTGATGACACTTTTTTCTGGTGATTAGCACATATTTCAAAGGAAATTGTTTGGTTTAATAAATAACTGTTTAAGAAGTATGTGTCTGATGTGTCTTCCTTATCTATCTTAACAAGCTGATAAGACAGTGTCACGATTTTTAAATAGGACACATTTGTTTGTCAGCACTGAAGAAATACTTTTCTTTGTTTTTGATGGTTTTTTTTTTACTTTGTGGGGGATTTACTTAAGTTCTGCTGAGTGTTCCTTACCCCTGGCACTTTAAGCTAAGTTGTTATCTCCCAAGTTAATGTCAGGTCAAGTCTAAGAAGAAAGCATTTTCCGTCTCCTTTTGCTGAAGTATATAGAAGCAAACATCAAAAATGAGACGTGCTCTCTACGGTGAGGGCTCATGTTGCATCTAAAGTAGAGCCTGGTTTGCCTGTATTCTTCTCTAGTTGCATGCATCCGACTAGTGAGCTAAAGAATCGCTTCCTATGCAAGCCAAGAGTTTGTTGATAGAATTTAAAGACTTCAGCAGAGTTGTTATTAGTCCAGTTACTAGCACTTACGTTACTAACACTTCAAGTCCAGATTGCTCAGTTATTACAAGTCATTCCCAATAAAGATACAGTTAAAACTGATACACATTAACTTTGCACCTCTCTTCCTAGGTTCACCCTTTGTTTTAAAACAGTGCTATTATTAATAGTGTTTTCCTGAAGATGATGACTTGTCTCTAACTGGACTGTGTGCTGCTGATCACAACCTTAGGGCCTGGCTGTTCAGCCAGGTAGGAGTGGCATTTCCTCTCTTCAAGCATGAGGAACCTTGTGTGACCTTGCAAGGACATCAGCCAGCTCCCTAAGCACTCATAGGTGCAACTGATCCAGGCCCATGGACTTCTGTATGTCAGGGCTGGTTAAGTGCTTCCTACTTGTGTGCTCCTCTTCTGGGTGTAAGTCTTCTGTGCTCCAGACTTTCCCTCTAGTGTCAGGGGTTGTGAATACCAGAAGGCTGATCTTATGATACGTGCTACAGGAGCACTTGTGTTGGTCTGCCTGCAAAGCGTGGCCCATAGGCTCTCAGCTGGCTCCTGAGCAGTCCCGGGGCAGAGCTCCATGAACTCCAGTGGCTGTTCTCTCATGTGAAATGCCATACCCCCTCTTTGCCTTCACAGCCTGTGCTTGCTAAAGATGGGTGGATACATCCGTTGTAGGACTCCTGCTGTGTGAGCTATCCCACCGTATATTTGTGATCCCAAGGAGGTTGCAGCCCCGTAGCTGTGCACAGACTTCTGACTCCTGTCCGCCGTGCTGTGAACATTAATGTCGAGGCATTTCAGTGAGGCACCCAAGTGTGCTGATTTCCCAGAACAGCAGAACACAGATGTTCTGCATGCACTTCTTTGCGTGCCTGTGCTCGAAGGGATTCCACTTCAGCCTTGTTTTGTTGATTGATATGTCGCTTCTGAAGCCATTGGCTTACTGACCCCATCTACGACTGCCTCGTGATGGTGGAGGAACGCTTTGACCATGAGAAAACTCAGCAAGGAAGACCTGAAACTAGTGTGTATGGATAACTTTATCATTTAATAACACACCTCTGTCATTTTCTTGTAATGGAAGAAAAAAATAATTTTCCCTTAAGAGTGTGGGGGTGGGGGGGAGGGAATATATAGGCAAGAGAAGTCAAGTACTCCTCACAGTGTCAAAAAGCAAGTACTCCAGAGAAACAGAATCTAAAAAGAAAAATACTAGATCTAGGGAGCGTTCAGCAAAGTTGTGAGTCAAAGCATCTTATAGCTGTTCTTAAAATGACATCTGGGGATACTGCAGACAATTTCTAATTTTTGCCGTCTAACCATAAAAATAATGCTGAGGTTCTTGTCTAATGAATACTAAGTTCCCTACCAACTTTCCTGTGCAAGTGTTGCATGGGCACTGTCTGCTGTTCTGGGACCAGCTAATGGCAAATGTATTTCAAACATAACACGAGAAAAGAAGAATAAAAGTTTTTCAAAAAGTTTTTACAAGTAGTGTTGCCTGAATGTGGAATGAATTATATAGCAAACTTATCCATCACTTAGGCTGAGATAGCTTCGTTCATTTTTTGTCTGTATGTATGCATGTGGAAGAACACAGTATTTTAAGTCTGAGATGGAGTTAGATTCTATGAATGATTGACACACTGATTCAGCAACACAGGTTGAAATTAAAATTCAGCTGGGAAATTCATAATGATGAAGCAAAGATGTATACTATACAAATATGTGGTTTGACTTCAATCAAGGGCTGTTGGTTTTGCACATCGGTGTTTGGAAGCTCAGAAAATTTGTTTTCCTTGTCAGTGCTAAAATAAGGCATGTTTGACATAGACAACATACTGAGTACTGGAAAATATTTGCTGCTTAGCAGCAGGAGAGCTGCTCAGTGGGACAACTGTAAGGCTTGTTATTACTCTGAATGTGTCCACTGGGAATGAAACTCACCAGTGTACTAGTATTTGACTTTACAGAATTGACCCTTTAACTTTCTTAAACATCTTTAATTCACTACCAGCTCTCTGCCAAAGGAACCGACTGAAAAACAGCTAAGGTTAAGAGGAGGATCGTCCTTCCTTATTCCTTTGGACAAGAAATTGCCCATTATTAGTAAATTATTTATGGAGCAGTGCATGTTCAGATTGCATAAGAGCCCACATTGTTGATTTGGTTTGTAGGCTTCATGGAGAATTATTTTGCTAGGAAAAATGGCGAGGTTTGTAAGTTGATAATTTGTGAATTGATCCATACCATGACTGTTGAGGAGGATGACTAGCTGCAGATGAATCCTGCAGGCTCTCCTGTGACCACTGAATATACCATTTTGGAGGAGGCGAAGCATGGTGGCAAATTCAGGCATGAAATAAACAGCATCATCGTGGCAAATGCAACCAACATCTTTGTTAATCTTTTTATTTCTGTTACTTTCTATCATCTACAGCCCAGCTACCCACTAGGCATTCCTTCTTCCTCCTGGACAGCTGCTGTTGTCAAACTTTAGTAGTTCTATTTCTATCCAATATTGTCAAATAAATACAATGCTTTTGTTAGAATTTTTAAAGGGAAGATTACTTACCAGTGATATGTGTTTTAAAAGGTAGAATTTCAAAAATTCCAAGAACAATTTTTTCACTATTGGTCTCTAAAATACAAACCCTCAAGCACTTTCTCTCTGTTTGCGTTATAGACAAGGATTCATTTTTTATTCTTCTGCTTTTTTCATTCTTTCAGAGTTAGGGTCACAACAAGTCTTTCAGTTTTAAACACCAAAGTTATTTTCCTACTGAATAATCTTTACTGCAGGAAGATTTTTCTGTTGCAGACGCCAAACTCGGCTTTCTCTGAGGTGTAACTTACGTGTATGTGTCTTCTAATTATCAAATTCAGCTGTGCTGTACCAAAATAATTCATATTTCTGTCTTGTTTTGCAGTGTCATTGCTGTAAATAGTATTGTTTAAAATATAAAAATCAGCATCTGACACTATTAAAAAATAGATAGAAAATTATGTTTTCTGTCAACAGTTGCCTGTGCAGTTATAGAGATCCTCAAAACAGAGAAAATGAAAAAGTTAAAAAGAAGGGATTTGGGGCCAACTGAAGTTTGCCTTCATCTCACTGCAGTGGTCACTGGAATTTAAGCATGTACTTATGTGGTTTGTAGAAAAGGGCTCTAAACCAAAACTAACATTAGGAAATTGTCATTGCCTCTCTACTACCAGTTGAATGCTATTTGGCAGCACTTCTCTTGTCCTACTACTGCTGCTAACTGGCTTGTGGAAGAACACAAGCCAGGCAGAACTGCTGAGTTGGTCTAACATCTATATTGAGTTTAAGCTAGTATCACACGTGCATATCTGAAGATTATATTTCAGTCCTTTTCTCATGATCACCAAATAACAGATAAGCTTTCCTGTGACTATAGTTCACTGAAGTTCTAACAATTGCTTATTATCTGCCTGTGCATGAAGTGGTGAGCCAAGCAGAAAATGCCAAGGCCTTCTTTTCTGTGCATTACAGAGTAAAAAGCAGGTCATTGATCTAGTTACAGAATTTTGGGTCATTCTCAATTGTGCTTAAATCAGATATTATCTAGCTGGTAGTGCAATAATAATAGTGTGTCATTGGATCTAGCCACTAAAAACTTGAGTAGCCTGAATGCACTTCAATAAAAAAAGGTAAAGAAAGCATTACATTGCAAAGGGTGCACTAATCTTACATTAATTCAACAGAAAGTTGCATTTTCCTTTCAGATTTTATCCAAGACAAGGTTCAGATGTTTTGACAAAATAGGAAAGGGTTGGGTTTGTTTCATTCCAAGTGATGATGCTTTTATCTGTGGTTGACAGTCACTCTTCCATCCAAATGATTTCCAAAATGCTGCATGCCTCTGTCCACTGAGAACCTCTTCTCATTACCCTAGAATTAGATTTTGGAATCAAAAGTGAAGGTCTTTGACGTATGTCAAGTCAGATACATTGGGTGCTAAAAGCAATGTTGCATTTGTAATTCGTCACTTGCATAGAATATAAATTGTGGCTGCTCTTATTATTGAGCACAGTTACCTAATATATGTTAAATGATATAGAACAGCTTAGTTACATATACATTTTGTATAG